CCCCCCCCCCTGCAAGTTACAAGATCCAAAAGGACATTTTTCTGCGGGACTATTCTTTACTTTTTGTTCAATGGAATTTTCGTCCAACTGGAATTCATAATGATCTTCTTTCTATCTTCTAATTCCAGCGATGCTTGGCCCAAATGTTAATACTTTAATTTGGTCATGGGCTTGTATAATTATTAGTAGAACCTTGAAATGCCTCTAATCAGTCACTTACATATGTATGACACCGATGACCAAACTATCTTTGCCAATGAAGAAAGACACTCAACTTTGCTGCCAGTAATCATTACTCTTTTTCGATTTTGGGTTTGTTTCAAGCTACAGTGCAGGAAAGCTCAAAATAAGCTTCTATCTGTGAGATTTGACGAGGTTTGCGTACATGTATTACCGTCACATGACTAAACCTAATCCGCAGGTGAAGGCTTTCCTGGACTACGACAAGTTCTTTTCTTTAGTCTGTCAAGCATGAACTAAACCTAAAAGCAGCATTAAGTCATGTTGTACCAAGAATGCCGTTCTCTGATTGGCTACACTACCCACTATCTATTCTGCTTTAGTAAAAATCTGCTAGCGTTCTATCACGAATGGCATTCTTTGATTGGCTAGGCTACTCACTATTCAGTCGTAGATGGTGAGTAGCGTAGCAGCGTGCGCTATGGGCCACTTCTTTGTGTTTTCGAAGTGTCTTTGAAGAGGATTTAGATTAAGTTTTGAACGACTAGTAGATTTATACTAAAACAATTAGATTATTGGCTCTCGATTTCTTTGCGTGTTAGTTCAATCGGGCTGCACCCTCATCAACAATCACGCGATAGAAATCTCGAGCTCATAATCTAATTGTTAAGTAGATAGTGAGTACCCTAGCAATGTGCGGTTGTTAACAAAATGGCGGCAGCTTCTATATGTTTTCGAAGTGTCTGTGAAGAGAATTTAGGTATAGTTTTGAAAAACTAGTAGATTTACGCTAAAACTATTAGACTGTTCGCTCTCGATTTCTAAGCATGATAGTTCAATCGGGCGGCACCCTCGTCAACTGTCACGCGATAGAAATCTCGAGCTCATAATCTAATCGTTAGAACATCAGTGGCACGCTCGGCTACCGCCTCGTGTGCCACTTTTTTGTTCTAGCCACTTACCAAATTACCAGAAATAGTCTGCAGATCTCCCGAACCCTCAGTCAGTTTACTGCTACCTTAAACCGTCGCTTATAAGCCCCCTCGCTTATAACTCACCGCCCCCCTCCCCCCACCAGCGGTGATAAGCCCATCTACCTGTAAACCCAAAAATACGTCTGGCTTTAAGCCCCCACCTCACCGACTGGATATAAGCCCTCCCTCTAGCTTTCCTTGTTTCGAATTCGTTTTATTATGATGTTTTAAAGCTTAATTACCAGTAAATGAAAAACTGGATCAACGTGTGCCGCTATAGCGCGACCAGAGAAAATAGTTTATTTAATGGGAATAGTTAAACAATCTCCCGACTAATACTGACGTTTTAATTGAAATATTTGATTAGTAAACACTGCTAGAGGCCCAGCACCTGCAACTTTGAGATCGCCGTTTCAAATGATGGCATTACAGCGTTTTGACCTTAAGTTTCAATTCATGGGACCAAAATTGGGTTAATACTTACGGTTAATGATATGACAATGGAACTGACAGCCTAACACAAAACTGCAACAATGAGTAAGAGATCAAGTTTTACAACATTTCCAAACACCGAGAAAATATGACGCGCAGCAGAGTATTTCTGACCACCTTCGAGGTGTTTGGGAATGTCGCAAAATACTGTTTCGAGTGTTTGGTATGTCATCTCAGTCGAAACTACAAAAACATCAGTTCTGAATATTGAAAAATCATAGCACGATCAATGGTCCTAAGGAATTTGAGAACGATGTATTGAATACTTTTTTGTGCCACACAGAATGTATAGGCTCATTGGTGTTTTTGCTTCACAAAAATTTTGCAGTTTTCGAAAGACAATGTCTCCTTCAATATTACTCCCTGAGTTAAAACTTTCAACAGGCAGTACGTGTCATAAGCTCTTTATCTGGGTGGGGTCAATTTATATCTAACATGTACATAATGCCTTCTCCACGTACAGTCGTATGATAATGGGGCACAATGTATGACGTCAGCCCATACTTCAAGCTGGGGTAATCTTAGTTACAAGACGAGGTTAGACGATAAAAGTTCTAGATATTTTCATGTGACTAGCTCTTAAACGGAGATTAATCAAACTAAAACTAAGAAGAAAACGGAGAAATAAAATCTATGCTAATTAAGATCAGATATGCAAGCGTCGTCATATTTAAATCTATGCTTTTCTTTGTTTTTACTTGGGAGATCAACAACGAAATGTTTGTTTACAATATTTGGCTTTCATAAGTGCGCGATTCAGTTTCTAATGGAGCTACAAAAATTTCATTTCTAATAGTAGTATACAGGGCGTCAAACAAATACCATTTCGAAGAGGCCCGCTGTTATACTGTTTCGCATCCCCCCATATTCAAGTCCGGCCCTCACAGGCTCGGGCCGGATGAAGGTGGGGGATGCGAAACAGTATAACAGCTGCCTCTGCGAAATAGTATTTGTTTGACGCCCTGTATACTACTCACAACAGCGAGACCCCGCGCAGCGTCCCGACAAACAAGGGGCGGCGGAGAGGCGGCCGCGGCCACCGGAAAGAACCGGTTTTGGCCGGTTTCAACCGCCCCTCGCGGGTGCACAAAAAAGGAGTGCGGTATGTTAGAAAGGGGCGAGCCGGGTG